TATATATATATATATATATATATATATATATATATATATATATATATGATTCTTACCAACAACTTATTGCCTGAGGAGCACAGGCAAGTTTGGGGACAGGCTAGAATACATGCAGATGAGGTTCACCAAACAAACACAACACACCTGGCTGGGGCTGAGGCAGTGTCCAACCAGGATCCACAATGGGATTATAATAACCCGGAAAACATTTTAGTTAGAGATCAGTTCATGACCTGCCTCCTGGCTGGTCTCCGAAAGGCTGCCCTTAAGCCAGTTAATTGAGAAGCTCCAGGAAGTCATTCATGACAAGAATGAAAACCCATCTTAATTCCTAGTATGCCTTACAAAGGCTCTCTTACAACATACTAATTTAGACCCCAAAAGTACAGAGGGTAGGAAACTCCTGATGACCAATTTTTTTCTCCCAGAGTTACCCTGACATCAGGGCTAAGCTTAAATGCTTCGAGAGAGGCCCTCTGACTCCACAGGCAGAAGTCTTAGCGTTGGCCTTTAAGGTGTACTTTGGGAGAGATGAGAAAGCCTGCAAACAAACTACCAAATGCTGGCCAAGGCCATCTGTCCAGCCTCAGCCACTACCCAGGTTCTCTTGTTTCCTAAGGCACAAGGACCATGGGGTCCCTGTTTCAAATGTGATCAAAAAGGTCACGGGGCCATGTCCAAAATGCCACCAAGAGAGACATTGGGATGTTGACTGCCACTGTTTCTCCCATGACAGGGGCATCACTCCCAGTTCCCCCTCCAGCCGATAGCCTAGGCGTGGCTACAGATGACTGAAGGTGCCCAGGTTCCCTTGACCCGACCACTGCCATCATTAGCAGGGAGCCATGGGTAATTATCATGGTATTGGGGCAGCCCATCTCCTTCCTTGTGGACACCGGAGCCACTTACTCAGTCCTGATGTAGTATTGGGGACCAACCTCTCCTTCTAGTTCCCCTATGGTCAGGGTAGGGGTACAGCCTTGCCAGACTTGCCGGCCTCCACCACTTAATTGTATTTTCAGGGATGCTCCCGTGACTCATTCCTTTTTAGTGATGCCAACCTGTCCAGTGAGCCAAAGTGGGAGCCTTTACTCCACCCATTCGCCTGACCCCAAACTCGCCACCGTACTCTCTCCTTCTCCGAACCACCCTACCTACAAGCTGT